TGTTTTTTGTGTGCGGAACACGGAAACCTTTCGCTAACGCAGAGCATCCAATTATTCGGTCATAAGGGCGGACTATCCCGGAGTCGCTCAGAGTATTCCTGGCATTCCCATGCGCGCGTAGTTCACAATTCACGCGACTGTTAGACGACACCGACATTCCGCCCCGCGCGTGTAAACTATGTTTCATGCCTCGTAGATCTTAACGAATCGCGGCGAGATTACGTCGTGGCGTATAACTACGAATATCCAACTAGTGTGAACATCCGTCGCAATCTGTATAATGGACATCCGCTGGCAATTGCACCTAGGATATCCAGGCCCGCAATTTGTCTATGGTTTTGTAACTCTCGTACACCCGGTGTCTATATAAATCGATGAGCGCTTGTGACGAAGCGAATCTCTCCCTCTTGAAAATCAATCATGCTCCTTCCTGTCGAAATTTGAATAGAATTGAGGAAGAGAAAGAAATACCGCTCATAATTATTTGAACGACTTGAGGAGTTGGAAAAATCGAGTTGAAAGAATCTACATCCGGGGAGAACGATAATAATATTTATTGATGGAAACCATTTTACATGACGAGCTTACAGACTAGAATATAATATATAATAACAACCAACAACACACAGGAATGACCAATATTGCCTTAGACAACAAATTGCCTTAGACTCGCATTGGCCATTCTTGTGTGTTGTTTAGTTTTAATGAGAGTCCTACTTTAACTCTAATGTACGAGTATATATAATAATATTTAACTATAAGGCCAGTATTCATAGTTGGATCTTACATTCAAGACGGTCTTGAATATAAGATCCGACTATAAATACCGACCTAAGATTATTAAATAAGCGAGAGCGCCTTTTGGTCCGAGCAAGATGTTGGTAACCCAATAATTGTAATCTGAAATGTGAATTCGTGTACCGTTTTCCACCTTGTCCTGCGCGCCGGTTTCCTTTCGGACACAACATAGTTTCATTTAAATGGAATCATTGTCGTCAGTAAATTTACATATATTAAAATTGATAAACTGTTTCGAATGATCTCAAAATGCTGTATTTGGCATTCAATAATGGAAAACGGTATATGAATTTACATTTTAAATTACAATTGTTAGGCTACCAACATCTTACTCGGACTTAATGGCGCTCTCGTTCGTTTGATTCATATCGCAATGGCCCTATTTAACTTTATTTGTGTAAAATTACTAATTCTCACTCAAATAATATTTACAAGCTGTATAATCGCGTATATAAATGTTTCCGAAGACATTCCACCTCTATCTTCGCTCGTGATCGATCCGCAAATGTAGTTCGGGGATGCTCAATGCGGCGCGCTGGCACTTGTCTTATCGTGGCCATGA